TTGTATTTTATTGAATCTGTATTTTTATTAGTTTATAGTAGTTGTCCGTGTCTGTAAGCCGTTATTTTCAATAAATTTGTTCACTGATTACTGCGTGGAGTTTTTTTACAAATTGTATTTTGATTTATATAATTGATTTTCATTGAAGTCAATATTTTCTGTTTCTCAATATATCATCATTGTTATTTTTAAATGAATTAACAATTAAAAACTTGCTACAAGTATTTGGAGTTGAGTGTTATTCAAATATTTATTGTCAGCTAAGCTTAATTCCAATCTATCAATTGCAGCACTTATCCATAACCAACAAAACATTCAAAAGGATAAAATAACCACGCTTGATTTGTGTATTGGTATTTCCAACTATAATTTTGAATTCGTTCATTCAATGCTTTGCAAGTTTGTAACAAAAAAAGTCTTAATATATTTTCTAGGAATATTATAGTGACTGTGAGGCATGTTCATATTCATTATTTAAAGAAGCCGCTAATCGGAATAGCAAACCAAGGCATAGTCGGTGTTAGCAAAATATAATGAACACGCAAATTACTTTAATAATATGCATATATCGTTTCGTCATATTCTTTGACAAAATGTCAGTCTATTTGGACCAGTGAATGTTCATGGGACACGACTTCAAATATGCATGCCGACAAATACAATCCAGGACTTTTATTGAAATGCGAAAGAATATGAAATGGTAGGTATGTAGACACGTGAGATCATTTGGTTAAGCTGGCTAAAATATGTACATTTACAGACATATTTGTTAAGTTGGTACTTGATATCACTATATTTCATATAGGTAGTTTTAATCCAGTATGTTTCTTAATTAATGACACATTTACTGTAATAATTTTAATGCATAACAAATATGAAAAATACGTCATTTTCAGCGAAGCAAAGAAACAAGTGGCAATTGCAACTGTTATCACCTTGTTACAAACAAAGATAATTGCTAAAAATAAAAAATATAAGACGTCTTCACGAAATGAACATATCTGACAAATAAAAAGTATTTAAAAATAATAAAAGGTTTCAAGAAGAAGGCAAAAATAGCATTTTTACCAAAAATGCCAAACATATTGGGTAAAAATAGAAAATTTAAATATGGTACAAAACAACAATCCAAGACACCTAAACACAAATTATCACTGCAATTGAGGTGGTAGTTTTCGAGAAGAATTCGAAAATATCATTTTATAGACAAATGTTGTTCATTGAGCTAAAAACCAAATTTGAAAATGTTGATTTTTACTTGGACTATCATAAAATAACGAAAAATGCCAATTAACAGAGCATCTTCCTCCATCTGATATTAATTGCATTGAGTTGTGTGGTAACATAGAGGGAAAAATAAATGTAGGCTTTGACTGGTTTACGTATGACCGTATGACCGACGAGATAAAATCATTAAGCTGGCTATATACGTATATATATTACAATATATTAACGAATTGATGGTACTCTGTATCACTCTCTTTTTATTGGCATCAGTGTTTCACCACGGACTCTGAAGCGTAAGGTATGTTTACTGGTTTTACTTTCATAGGTCGTACAATTCAGTCGTAACAAAATCGTCTGAATGGTTTTATTTCCGTCACTAGATACAATATGCCGCATTATGCGTGAGTTTGAACGTTACAACGGAACAAGCAGAGATCATAACGTCGCAGTGGCGATAAAACAGTGTTTAGAATTCGACAAACGCGGTATTAGTGTGTTTTTTTCCCACACTTAATAATTTCATGTCATTTTTGCTGGAGTAAGTTAATCACAACTCCATATTTCCGTTTTGAAAGCTCGGCATTGTGAGTTGAATTATAAAATAGAAATTTATTTTAAAAAAATGAAATCTTTTTTTCCTGATTTCTGTTATGCATTACATGAACGGGAAATCACTTATTTAATTTGTTTAATATTTCATTCCTTTGATGAACAAAAGGGTAGACTGGTTGTTCTGTTACTATCATGTGCATGGAGGCAATCTCCATTCTAGAGGTTTAGATTCACCGTTTGTAGCGCTGTAACATTTTAAAGGTGACACTGATATTCAACTAGTATAAAAAGCAAACAGACTTGTTAGATGTAATCTATGGCTTGAACATATATAAGTACTGGCGAAGCAGTTCAATTGTAAAAAATATATACACCCAAACTCAGCGTAATATATGATTCACTACTGTATTCGTAAATACCCAATTGAAGTCGAATCCGAATGGGTTTGACTTACGGTGTTAACCAGTCACTCTTACGGCAGTTGATGCAACGCACAGAACAAGATTTCAACAAGACTCATCGCCGAATCACTCTTTTTTTGCACAGACATAAAACTATCGTATTGCCCATTCTCGCATCGCGATTTCCATCATTCTTTAAAATTCCGAACGCATATTATAGAGGAGTGTTTTTTTTTCACTATGGTACCAGTAATTTTAAAACGATAATCTGCTGAGCGCTCCATCTGTTACAGCCAGTACAAGCAGGGAGTTTAAATCGTGGTCCCAATGTGATACGCATGCGCCGTTTGTCACATCGAGTTTAACAAAATAACTTACTAAACCACGAGGTGATTAATTATTCAGTATTTTAATACCGGTGATTTTCCGGTAAAGCCATTCTGCCCGTCCTCAACAACAATTTGAGCTCGAATAGATTTCCTTTATTGAAAATACGTAGTTTGTGTACACAGGTACGATCCTGTCATTATAGAATAAAAATACAATTTCGAACCTATAATGTAACTATAATGCATGTAACTTACACTATAAAGCTAGATGGAAAAAATAGACTAAACACATGCCACCCATGAAGTCAAATCCGACGACTGAAAGTCTGGCTTTGCTGCGTTGTTATAATGTTTGATATTGTCGACTGCATAACGCGTCAATGCAATTAATTCACATTCAACTGCAAGTTCATGAAATATTTACTAAACAATATGGTTCGACAATTCTAGAAAATGATAGTAAAAGTTGTTTATGTAATTAAGGTGATAATAAACATAAACTGCAACAGAGCAAGTTTAAAAAAAGTGTAATGATTTACGCGAGTATTGATTGCAATGCAATCACGTGATATTCCCGTATTTCTATCGGCTACGTTTGCGTACTACACGACTTGAACTTCATCTGTGTGGTAAAAAACATATTTTTTTTAACCTACCACATTATTTTTGTTTAATGTATATTGAATCTGTGGGTAATAAGAAATGAGTTTCAAATAACGTATAGCGTGTCAATGTGCTAGTATGTTCGTATTTTTTCATATTCAAGGTTGGAAAATGTTTTATATTATTCAGTTTTAAATAAATTATAGTAAAGTCCGACATTTAATCATCTCAGATTCGCCAACTTTGACAGGAATTTGCGAGTTCCGAATAGCGGTCACGCGTGATTCTTAAAATTTGTTCAATTAAAAAAATAATTACACAAAGGTCAAATATTTAATTATTTCAGATATGCCAACTTGAACTGGTCTAATAGCTGCCACGTTCACCTCAGACCATATACGCCCACCTTACAACCTCAGTTTTGGGATTCTACTATATACATTTTTAAGAGCCTACCAAACAAAAAATCCAATCAATCAAGATCCAGGCTATGATGTTCACGCTGCTGAATACTTATCCACTTATCCGCTGTCCTAGTTAGTATACGCAGTTAACTTTATGACGGGAAATCGGTATAATGTATTTAAAAATTTGAACTGTCATTAATTTTGAAATAATGGTCTATGAAAACGGGAACCGTTAAATCAACCGACACATGCTAAATAGACTACGATTGGCCGTCATTTGCCATAGTGAAATAGCAAAATAAATACAACTACCATGTAAGAAATTTGTTTGCTACTGTATATTAAAAAATATACCGAAACAGCATATCGACTATATTGAGTTGGCCGAACTCACAGCAGTATAGTACGCCTTCAACGCCATAGATTTTTAGGCAATCACGGACCGTGCCTTTCATTTCAAAATTGTATTGTTGAAAACTAAATATTGCCAGCGCAGTAATAACTAAAATTATATCTAAAATCAAAATTGTAATTATTTGCCACCAATTCATCAATTGAAATTACAAAAACCAAAATGTTCGAATCAAGAAAATGCTAGAAATTCACTTGTCCGTCATTCATGTTATCCGCGGACGAAATGCCCAATTATGTGATTGTTGATTACTGTTGTCTTCATTAATAAATAGTTAAGTTGGCATGGCAGTGCGACTTATGGATTAGAGAATGGGTAGACAATAGTTATTGCGCACTCACCGGAAGATTCACTCAAACATAAATTTATTTTAGTCCTAAAAATAAATACAGATTTAAACTGTTCCTTACAATGTTTTGGCGTTTTCTCATGATCACCGCCATGGCACCATTGTAAACAGATTAGCCTGTCTTGAATATGACCCAACATGCTGTGTTTTGAAATAACCTAGGTGTGTAAAAAGTTGACCACAGTACCAGTGTCATTTCAAAAATCCTCCCAGAATTAGGTTACACCTGTAGGATTTAAATTCATTTAAATTATTCAGTTTATGTGTAATGCTACACTAATGAACACGTTAGATTTTTATTAAACACACTTTGCAACTGTTGACACGAAGTTTAAATGATGTAAACTGTAAAAAGACACGAGTGAAATTGATTATAAATTATATTATTACTGTTAAATTATTAACCCCGCACTTGTAATATTAAGTAAACGAATATGATTATAAAAATGAATGTGAACATATACATGTACATATTCAAACAAATATTCATGGCAAATATATTCTGGCCATCAATGCGTTTCCTATTCATGTATTGACATATGTGTTTCAATAGTAACCTAATAACCCATTTTATATATTCCGTGTTGTACATCAATGCATTCTTGATTTATCAAGGAGCATTCACAAAATTTGGTGTGTGCAAATTCTGTAAATAGTTTGTTTATGTTTTTCCAGGAATTCTTCACAATAATAAGGCGTAACAGTACTTGACATTAAAACATGTTGCAGGAAGATTATATGGTAAGCTTCTATGCTGCTGGTGTAAATCAACATTGCTCATTTCATATGTGGGTTTGTTCGTATTTTGATGATGTATGGCTAAATTAAAGTGTGAGGTTTTGCCTCCTAATGTAACATAAAATGGGTGCAAGATATGTTTGTTGTCCATGACGGAGTAATGTGTTACATCTCAAGAAGACATTGAATTCAAATAACTGTACTTTATTTGTTGAAATGCGATGCATATTTGGTGAAGACCCATAAACTAATATTGCCTCTGATACCTTGATTAACAGGAAGCTATCAGGTTGTGCGGACTGCGCAGGCCGAAGAAAAATAACTTTAAAGAGTGGGTGAAGAAGGCTATGGCGGAGTTTATAGATGATTTAAAAAAAGTTGATATAACAGTGAGTTTAATCCCTTGGCTTAAACATACACTATAAACATGTTATCACTGGCAAAAATGTAGCATGCAAATGATATTCCAAGATATTCAAAATATCCACATCTCACATTGGTAGTGTAAATATAATCAATAAGTATGTCAGTGTGATTATACAAATAATTTTACTTATTGCAATAAATATAATACACTAGCTACCACTAGTATTGACGACCTTGTGACGCCGGGAAGATGTAAATTCAATATTGGCAAGTAAAGTCTGGCAAACCTTATAAAATGCACTATATCTATACATATTATTCCACTACATATAAGTATATTCATGAATGTTAAATGTACAATTGTGGATAAACAATAGGACCAATATAGCATAACAATGAATACAATATTCATAAACATAGTCTTTTGTTATGTAAATTGACCGATATGTATTTTTTCTGGGGAGAACACTGATAAATATTTAATGAAATATATGATAACTTGATATTTTGGTCATGTACCGTTACGATATCTTGTCAGACAACAAAATTATAGAACCAGAACCAGTTGAATGTCTATGTTGCATTTGCAACAGTATTAAAATTTAAGCTTATTATTGATGTCACATGATCATATGGTCAGGGGATACATTAGTTAAATCACATTGTGAGATGCTCTGGTTGCATGTCACCATCTGCAGGAGCACATTAGTTATGCATATTAAGGACATGTGTAACTATGTAGATAATTTATATACATGAATTTCAACCCTGAAGTAATCAGATCTGTGGATCATGCAAAAGAACCAAGTTTTATTAAAATCTGTATAATAGTATATTAAAAACAAGGGGAAATGCTTAATGTTGTGTAATTAATATGCACATTAGGTCATTAATTTAAACAAAATTTCAACCAAAAATATTTCGCATTCATATTTTTGTCCACCATGTTTCTCTCCGTGGGATTTTGCTGTATCATACGATCTGGCTAGAATCCACTTAGTCTACATTCTGCAATACCTTTGTTTGTGCGTTTCATATTATGTTCGATGAGTCTTCTTTTTTCTGAAAATCCCTCACTGCACACATTGCAATGGAAGGGATATATGGGTGTGTGGCTACGAGTAAGCTGTTTTCACAATTGAAAATGCTGCTTTCAGAATTCACCTGGTATGTCTTGTGCAGGAATATCTGGTACACTGTGTGCTGACACTTTTGCAATATCAGCATTCACCTCAAATGGTTTACCAATAGTACAAGTGTCTGCCTTGGTGACAGATGATATGTCTTGTAGTGTTGCAGGGATATTTGGTACACTGTGTGCTGACACTTTTGCAATATCAACATTCACCTCCAAATGTGTTATCAGTACTGATGGCAGATATGTTCTCTGATACACTGTGTGCTGGTACTTCTGCAGTTTCAGTAATTATATTTAATATATCCGTATCTACAATAGATGAATATAAATTTTGTTTTTAGTTCACTAAAATTATTAATATTTATTTTGACACAATATTTATTAAAATTGATGTTTTTAAAGGTAAATTACAGTAATTTCAAAACTACAATGAAAATAGCAAATTTCGAGTAAATATACAAATATAACATATTACACCAAAAACAGAAAATCAATGAAAACCCGCATGTAGTGCACAATATGATTTTGAACATTGAAACTCGAATCATAACAGTTTTAATATTACGAGTGTTGCAAAATTTCCTGAATAAAAGCTAGACACAGTGCGGGGTATTTTGGTAATTGTATTTACCCGCATACTTTGATTTGTAAAACGTAAGCAGTAGAAATAGATACTCACCCGACATCCTTGCCTGACTCTACTTTGAGGCAGCCATTTTACATTACGCACAATTCATCACGTTTTTTTCTCGACCATAATGTTTTTATGCTCGAGTGTGCGTTTATTTTTCTGGACAATAGTGTTGTTATCTCGGCGCGCCGTTTATTTTGCTCGAATATTGTGTTTGCGTTCTTGAGTGCCCTCTTTTTGGTACCCCTGAACAACTTACAATTGATATCAGTGCAGATAATGTACACATATGTGATCATTCAACCATCACCTCAGCTATTTAACTATACTATACATTTGAACAGTTGGTAATACGTATCGCATTTGTCGCCATTGAATTAAAGGAAACAAGAAACATCTTTCGCCAAAAGAATGGTTTTTACCATTTTTCACTACGGCGGAAGCTATTTATCCTTCGTTGGTGTAGGGGGCGCTGTTCACCCTTTTTGACTAGGATCTGTACTATCCTTAAACATACCTAATTCTACCTTTGTAATATATTGTATTTTGTTTTTCATTTTTAATATTAATTTACATGTCATGTATTATATCATTGCATATTTTTAAATATTGTATTTAATTTAATTTATGAATATACTTTTATTTAGTGGAATAATATGTATAAGAAGAAGGAATATCATCATATGATGTTTGAGAAGGTTAAATCTGCAGCAAGGGAAACATATTCAAAAGAGTTTTGGTCCCTTTTCATAACCAGCGTGCATAGCCCATCTGAGAATATAACTTCTACGAAGTAGTACGTGTACGTTAAATCGATTGTAACCCAATTAGTACGGTAGCAGACCAGGAAACTGGCAATGATGAATTTTATAAATTAATTAAAGAATTTGTAGATAATGTCGATATGGGAAATACACAAGAATGTACTGACTATGTAATGTTGAACACGCCCATTACTTTAGATGAGATTAAAACCAGTGTTATCAAAATGTCCAATGATAAGGTTTCTGGTCCGGATGGTATTACTGTTGATTTTTTAAAGAACGCACCATCCTTTATATTTGAATATATATGTCGACTATTTAATATTATTCTGGAAAGTGGTAATTTCTCTAAATCATGATTCATAAAAAGGCAGCTAGAAACAAATTATAGAAGTATTACCCTGCTTTTTGTCCTTGGTAAAGTATTTACCCAGATTTTATGTGTAATATTGCAAACATGGTTTGATATTTCTAGTAAAACATTAGAAGAACAAGCAGGTTTTAATAAAGGATATAGAACTGTTGATATTTTTTTTTAATTCTAAGTACAATAATTAACAAGTATATGTCCCGGCAACGGGGGAGAGTATACGTGGCATTTGTTGATTTCGAAAAAGCGTTTGACAGAGTAAACCATTATGCTTTGTTTTATAAAATAGCGAAAATTAGATTACGGGATAAGCTATTTAAATGATTGTACTCACTATATCGCAATATAACAGCTTGTGTTAAAATATCACATGGTTTAACTGATGTTATTCTAAGTACAATTTTTCTAGACAATACTGTTTTTTTTTTCTACCTGCTGTTTATTTTGCTCGAATATTGGCAAAAATTCAGTAATAATCATTAAGACAATTAATTCAATATTTATTTATTTATTATCCATTGTCATCAGCTTGACGATTTAGATAGTTTGAAAATCATTCATATAAGTGGTACAAAAGGCAAGGGATCTGTGACTGCTTTTTGTGAAAGTATATTACGAGCACATGGACTAAAAACTGGAATGTATAGGTAAGCAGATACTATCGATATAACATATATACATTATATTATACGGCTATAATTCATTATTATAAAAGTGGTGTTTTTGTTATTCCCAGCTCACCACATTTGATAGAACTTCGTGAGCGAATCCGGATTAATGGTTTACCGTTGTCGAGAAATGACTTCAGTAAATATTTCTTTGATGTGTACAAAAAATTGGATGCTATTTCGGAGCGTTTCAGGTTACTGACGATGGTAGCATTGCATGCGTTCTTACAGGAAAAGGTAAGATTTTCTGTATTAGACTTTCATCAGAAACAATTCTCGGAATACTGAATTGTTAGCATTAAATATATTTTGGCCATATGCATTATTTTATGTGTGCAATGTGGTAATAAAGGCACATTGAGCATGTTCAATATGCCACTTTAGTCTAAAATCAATATCAACACGTGTATTAACTTTCACAAGTTTGTTAGCTGAAAACATTGCCTATCACGCATCAGCTCTAAATCTCTGGCAAACATTGTTCACACCGATAATTGAAATGTTCCATCAACTTGGATTTTCAAATGCAACCCTCTCTCTTTTTTAATGTTGTGTGGTAGAATGTGTAAATATAACATTAATTCAATTATAATTTGTTCAGAGTGCACTCACTTTTCATCAATTCTGTACACCATTGTGTTATTTTTTTCTGGTATAATAATTCAATTGCAGTGTTGATTTCATCAGAATTGCTACAAGTTACTATAAAAGGTGTTTTTATTTGTAATATGTTAATAAGAAATCTTAGTATATAACTAATTTATGTATGTTTGATTATATGATCAAGATATTTCGAAATCTACTGGTACTTTCCATGGCTCAAATGCATAAATGGTCGTAAATTGATGCATATTAGCATATTTGAACGCCGTAACTATCTTATGTTGTGTTATTATAATATGATGCCGCTCTGACTTTAAGTTATGTAGTTCCATGTTATATGATGCAGTCTCATCTGTGTCATGCGGTCACGAATGTGCAGTCATCTTTATGTTATGCAGTTCCATATCTACTTTATGTAGTCCTGTCTTTGTGTTATGTTTTGTTATTATATGTCGTCTCGTTATGAAGTTATTGCTTTATGCTATTCACTTCCATCTTTATGTTGTGATATTTAGCTACATCAAAGTCTGCCTTCAGTAAACATACCTCAAATCATTCAATGTGAACTAATGTGAACTAAGAATATATACACCACAACATACTGGCAGGGACAATAAAAAACTTATCATATCAGAGGTTAGAAATAAACCTGCCACCAATACAGTGTGTTGAGATATTCTGTGGACGCTCTCCAATATTGAATTGTCTCACAGTAAATGTATAATTATTAACTCTAACTAGATGATTACGTAACCCCATGCATAAAAGGACATATATATCAATAGACTATTTTGTTAGTTATGTGATTGACACGTGTACATATTTATGTGTGTTCACATCAATCTTGGTGGTACTAATGTTTTAATGAAATACTAAAAATTACACTACATACCATTTATATGTTCAAAAGCAGCTTACAAATGCAACTGATATCCGTTTTGATGTGAAGTTTGTCCGCGTTACCGACACAGCTGTTGCATGTGATGAAATGCCAACTACTTCCTATTATTACAAACTTCGGGTGACAAACTAGTTGTCAATAATTAAACATTATATATGTGATTTGATAGGAACATGCCAGTGTTATGTGCTTTAAATTTTCTGTATAGGTTGATGTTGTCATTCTGGAGGTAGGCAGGGGTGGGACATATGATTGCACTAACGTTATAAGACGTCCTACAGCCACTGGTATAAACTTGATTGACTTCGACCATATGCACGTATTGGGAGACACTCTAGCTAAAATAGCTTGGCATAAAGCTGGTATTTGCAAGGTGGGCAAAAAAAGTTTATTTATCTGGTATTAACGCCTTGAGATTTTATAAATTCTGTGTCAGTGACGGTGTTATGAATAATAAACAACATTTTTATTATGTCATGATTTTATGATGAATACAAATTTCTTGAAAATGTTTGTTCAATATATTGGAAAAGATGTGTCATTTAAGTACTATCCGAAAAACTTTGTATTATTAATTTTACCAACAGTAGATTAGTACATTTTAAATCATTTCTCGTTTTCCCGCAGCCTGGCCGACCTGCATTCACAGTCCCACAATCTAAAGAAGCCGTTGATACCATACTAGCTAGAGCCAAAGAGCTGGACGTATGTATACAATTACAATTTCAGTGATAGACAATTTACAAACACGATGAATCAAAATACTGTGAAGTAGACGCTTTCAAATAGCTTTGGTGAAGAAACATCCACATATTCGAAATGCTGTCCACACCATTTTATTTATATTTATTTATTTATTTTAATGTATTTGTTGCATATAGATTAGCAGCGACATTGAGCAGAATTGATGTAAACAAAATAAAAGTCAGTGGTTGACTTTAGTGCTTTATGTTTTACAGGCACCAATTCATCTAGTACCTGAATTGGATGACTATGATTGGCAGGGACAACCTAAAAAGCTTGGTATATCAGGGGAATATCAGAAACGCAATGCATCTTTAGCAATACAGTTGTGCAGAGCATGGATAAACGAGCATAAATCGAGTAAGTATTAAAACAATTTATATTTATGGAGTTTCACGATATCGAAATAAACATGTTGCTGACATTTGTTGAAAATAATTTACCAATACTTTAAAACACCCCTAACAGTATCAGAAAGATTATTGATACTTTTTGGAAATGTTGAGCTTAATGTCCATACGTGGAACTGTAATGTCTACAAGTTTTTGTTTTTCGCGTGTAAAACATAAACAAGTGACACTGATTTTTCTATATTTTGCCAGGACTGCTTTTAAAAGGGAGCCCCAGACGTAATAAGCATAAGGCAATTTGGTTTACATTTAATGACGTAAATGTTCACGCCCCTGTGTACGGTTGATTGAACTCGATAACATTGCAAGCGCCTTTGTGCATTTTGGAGAAGACAAATTTGATTTTGCATCAAAACAGACGTGATTAGTTACGATTAGTGAATCTGTATTAAAAAGCAAGGCGCTCTGCTATGTCATGATTTGACTCCTGAGACGTGTCTTGCTTTTGATTATAACTGTATTTCATGTAACACATTTGACGTTGTTTACAGGGGAAATATACAATAAAAGTGTCTCAAATCATGCATTGCGGTAATATGTATACAATTGTGAATTCTACATTTAAATATACTTTACTTATACATTTGTTTCTATTATATTGTGTTTAGGTAAACGTACATTTGAACAAACTAAATTATTGCAGGTTTTAATATTTCCCGTTCACACACTAAAGTACATAAACGTTAATGAACTAGTAGTATCCAATAAATTAAGCATATGAGATTCAATAAACCGTTAATTGTATATATGGTATGCAACGTTTCTATTATCATAACCATTTACGTTATTTTCGTAAGACCTCACTAGTTTTGAAGATGTACATACCAATGCCAGTGTAGAATACAGTAGTCTGACAGCTCCAGCATTCAAGTTACCGGACGCATTTATAAAAGGTAAGCAATGATTTTATTTATTTGCATTACAATTATTATGCATAAAAGTAATAATATATTTAAATACGTTTTTTGCATTCACCATTCATATAGTCATACTAATACGTGAATGTAGCCATTGGACTCTTAATACAGAGAGATGATAGTAAATATATACCCAGGCCGTCTTAGATAAGGACGAGAGTTATTAAATTATTTAAGACATTGTTGATGGGAACATGTTTTGGGAGTGGTCTTAATAAGTTTTGGCATCTTTGTTTGTTGACCATCTCACAAAAATATATTTTTGAAAAGGTACCTGAGAGTTTGTCGCTGCAGTTCCAAGTTATTGATATCAACCTCAATCAATTTATGTTACCGCCTTTATTAATGTATTGTTATAATTAAGGTAGCAGAATAGTTTTTTGGGCACTTTTCTCATTTTTTTGTGAAAATCACAAGCATAGCTCCATAAGGCATGCCACATACATTAGTGTATTTACTTTATTGAAAAAATAATATTTTGTACAAGTAAACTGTTTTTTTTTTCTTGTGTGCAAAGAAATACCCAAGTTTTTGTTTATCCAGTGTACACCTCACCAGTACTTCTCATTAATATTCATGCCTAACAAACATAACTGAACTGAGGCTAAGCTATTTACAAACAACTGATAAGATATCTGTTTGTAGTTTTACACACAGCTGATAAGATATGTGCACTGCTTCGTTTCGAGAGGAGGAAGCTGTACAGCAAAGACAAAAAATAACTTTTGAAACACAACACATTTTGAATAAACAAAAAGGTACATGAGTATATCACTCCAACGTATTACCGGATTCTGCCGTAAATTCGCTTAGGCCGTTTAACGGTAGTTTGGTTTTTTTAATTTTGTTTTATATTTTGGGAAGAGGAATTTACGTTCTAAATGGTTATTTTAAATCTGCAACAATCAATCTGCGTGAAATGATACCCCATTGTGCGGGGAACTCAGTTGGAGATTTTTTATATTTGATACATTGTATCTTTTTATGATCAGATCATGGGCCTTGTTCATGTGGACGGCGCAAGTGTTACGATCTCCTCGGCGTATATTTACACTCTAGGGAGCAAGCAAAGACGCTCATTTCCAAAATAATAATTTAATTAACAATGCCAATAAAAATAAAATAATCCCACATGTACATTGAATTATAAAAAATGGCAATACGTTTACAGTCGTACATTTTATTTGGTCATCTACAATGTTCGTCGGTATCATTCACAAATACTTGAAGGGCGTCTTATCTGTGATTTCTTCACCTTCAAATTCTGGGTCACCGTCTTCGTCCAAAAAATCAAATTCGTCATTTAGCTTCCCAAGCTAACACCTCTTGAAGTTTGCTGTTCAGTGACTCCACCATTAGCGGCTTGGTATTCACAGCAGTTTTTCGTTTCCTCAACGGCGGCACTTACAAAGGCCCGGTAAAGGATTGGTCAGTTACTTCGGCCTAGGGGGGGGGGGGTCGGTGGATCAGTAGGGGGGTCACCCTGTTTTTGATATCATGTTTTCCAGAATTCACAAGCACTCATGCATATATTTTTAAAATTTTTATTTCAGAACAAACGATAAAAAAGTTAATCGTACAAATGTGTTCTTAATAATAACTATTACCTATATTGCCTATAAATTTGTTGATGCAAAAAATGTTATAGGCTAAATATTTTGAGGTTAAAGTTGCCAAATAACTAACCGATTATGCAATGCGGCTAGAACCCCAATTATACAGTTAAGTTTTAAACACATCCCAAGTCCATGTGCTGCTGATATCAGATTATTTTATTTAAAGTCTGAAGTCACTCAACATTGTATAAAGATATTTACTGGATTTATCCAATTATAACAGGAGACGGAAAGACAACACAGCAATTAGTACAAAGAGCAGTGACAGTTTTTGTTCAAACAAGTCAAAAAAGTTAAGTTTGTGAAAATGCTGATAT